ACCTAATCTCCATCTTCCATTTCTTTCTTACCCATCTCTCATTCCTTGCTTTCCCTTCAATGACAATATGGATTCCCAAATATATTGTATTCTAAGTTTTATATTAATCTGATTGAAATAAAAGGTGCATCAAATGTGTGGATGTTCATTGTGATGGAAAAAATAAAAAATGAATCAATTCTTGACATCAGCATATTTTAAGCCATTTTGCAATTTGACCAGTTTTTTTTAACTTGTCCAGTTACATGTGTACAAATTCACAACTCATTTATGCATACACATAAAATATTTCTTAAGTTTATGAAATATTATCTATTTCTATTTGTAGCTGGTTTCTTTGTAATTTGAAACATGTCTGTTTTCTAGTTCCACCTCTAATATGCAATGGATTTCTAAACTGTCATTCTTGTTCTTATCAATTAAAAATATTAAATTAAAATAAATGACTTTTCTTGGAATCATAAGAACACTGAGGTTTAAAGACAAACTGACACTCTGAAATACAAAGAGGCAGATAAACCCAAAATTCAGAGTCAAGATCTTCTTACCTGGAGAAGAAGCTAATATGGTTAACAGGAACAGAAAATCTGTATAAATAACATACACTGAACTTGAACTAAATGAATGGGAAATTCTTGAAAGCCACTGAGTACTACTTCAAAAATCATACAACGTTTTCACTGTAAGGAGCCAAGAAAGGCACACCCCTGCTTAACAGAGGGAAGGAAAGAGTAACCACTGTGAAATACCCAGAGATTTGCCCATAATCTGCAGGTGGTGAGAATAATACAGTGTTATCCCATTTAAAAGATTGTTTTCAGACCTCCGAACTTTAGTCTTTCTTTCCCACCTAAGTAGGGATAAAAATGGTAAGAAATGTGTGAAAACAGGTACACGGGTCCACTAAAAGACTGAGACTTCACCATAAGGTTATATAAAACTTTCCTTCTTTTTAATTTATTGCCACACCAACAGGATTCCAGAGTACAGCCGTGAATAACAGTAGGAGATGCTGGTAGATTTAGACTCTCCTCTAGACACAGATGGAAACCAAACAAAGATAAGAGAAGAATTTTAATCCTCTGGCACATACAATTGCAGAAAACATTAAACACAGCCCTGCATCCAGCCAAACTATCATAAATCCTCACATTAAAGGAGTATATCATCCAACTCCTGTTACCTGATACTTCATATATGGTTTCAAGAAAAAATTACAAGGCATGCCAAAAGGCAAGAAAATACATATTTGGAAAAGACAAAGCATTGTCTTTAAGAGACTCAAATATGAGATAGATGTTGAAATTGTCAAATAGGGATTTTAAAATAACTATGTTTAATATGTCCAAAAATCTACTGGGAAAATTGTATAGCTCCAAAGCTTAAATTTACATAAAAATTAAGAGTATCATACATGGAATATATAGAGGTAACATATTTTTTGAAATTTTATCTTTTAACTTATTATGAAATATTTTAAAGATAATAATATTAAAGGTAGTAGATAGGGCTGGGGAATACAACTCAGTTGGTAGAGTGCTTGCTTCCCATGCACAAGGACCTGGGTTCAATCCCCAGCACCACAAACAAACAACAACAACAACAACAACAACAACAAAAAATATATATATATATATATTATAGCATATAGATGATTTAAATCAATGTGAAACATAAAAAAGAGAAAAATCTAAAAATGCTTATAGGATATAAATATT